TCCAATAGATGACCCATCTATTGCAACAGATCAGTAAGCTGTTGGACGAAAGCAAAACAACAAAAAAAATTGAGATTTTTTCAATATATGACCTATCTGTTGCAACAAATACGTCATCTGTTAAACCTAAATAAAACAGCAACAAATGATAAAGTTTTCATCCAACAAATGACACATCTATTGCAACAAATCAGTCATCTGTTGGGCAAAAGCAAAACAGTAGCAAACTCTTATGTTTTCTTCCAACAGATGACCCATCTATTGCAATAGGTGATTATAGATGAGTCATATATTGGAAGAAAACTAAACGAAAGCAAAACAGATAATCAGTTAATTTAAATAAATATTATTCTATAGAAGACTTACTATATCATGAGGAGGATCGAATAGATCAACGGAATTTATTTTTGGGTTGTTCTTGGCAGACAACCACCTAAGAATCCTTGGTTGAGAAATTTCTTTCGAGTAATCGTTGAATTGCTTCCTGAGATAAGGTATTGCTTCAAATGCCCAAGCCTAAAAATATAAAGATGATGAAAATAAACAATTAAAATAATTATTCAATAACACAAATAAATAAAATACTAAAATTAGAGGTGAAGTTTACCATGAAAGCCCAAGGAAAGCCATATAAATTGTTAGTCTTCGGTGATAACTTTGACACCAAATACTCGACAGTCAAGAAATAACTATCATTACCCCATGGGTAATTGTTGAATGCATCCAAATCTTGAGCAAGCACAAACAAACTAAGATCTATGACATTGTTGATGTCTTTAGCCCATAAAATAGCATGCACAAACCAAACTAAGCACAGTCGCTCTTTGTGCTTCTTTAAAACCTTTTTGCTCTGGAGATCTTCTATCAAATCTTTGGCTTTATAACTAGGTCCAATAATAGCCAACAACTCATTTTCATTATTTGGTTTTTCTTTGCCTTTGTTGGTTTTGGTGTTGACTGTCTTGACTGGCTTTTTACCTTTCTTGCCAACCTTGACTGATTTAGATATCTTTTTTTCTCTTGGCTTTCTTAAGCGTGCAACTTTAGGAAGAGGTTCAGAAGGAGGATGACATCTCAGTCCAGTCACTATGGCAAATTCTTTTATGCCAAAACAAACAGGCATGCCACAGTAGTTTATCCAAATCTCATCCATTTTCTTGTTCTTATCCTCCAAAGCATCATTATCAGCTCCCTTATACTTGATTCTGCGCTTGAGAAGATCATACACCATGCTCATTTGAAAACGTGCATTGTTAGCCTCCGGCAAATCAAGAAAGTATCCAAAACAGCTAGATTTAAAGAAATCCTCCAACTTTTCATTCATCAATATTGTTCTAAAAGCATCAAATTTGGCACCCATGGCTGATTTTACAACAAAATCACCTGTCAAATTTGTAGGGTCATCTATAGGCATCTCTACATGAAACTTGTCAATATTAAAAATTTTGACAACATCTTCATCTCCTTCCTCACTTTCAGTATCATCTCGGAAGCCATTTTTCTACAAATAGAAACAATGAAAAAACTTACAATCAATTGTGCATCATTAAAAAAAGATAGCAACAAATTTAATAAATTCAACATAATATAATATTCTATAGATAATACACTTGTTGCAACAAATAACCCATCTGTTGTAACAAATAGGCCATCTATTGCAACAGGGGAGGCCCTATCTTTCATTTAGAAATGTGGGAGTTTTAGTTAATGCAAGAAAAGGTCATTTTGCGTTAGTTTAAAGAGAAAATAATTTCTTATATACATTTTACTATTATTTGAGTTGAGGGTCTAAACATCCTCTCTATGTTCACAAGTTCTGCTTTCGCGCTACTCTCTCCAGGCCCCTCTTATGAGATTACACTGACTAACCGAGTGTTTAGCCCCTATATATCATTGGATGTGAACTTAGCATCCTCTATATGTATATATATATATATTCATCTCCAAATTATTTCACTTTTGAATTTTTCGCCTTTGAATAACATTGGCTTTGGTGAATCAGGCTAAAGATAGTCTGGAGAAATCCATGGTAACTGACCTTGAAACAGGGGAGAGCATAGAGAGTGAATATCGGACAAGTACTGGCGCATTTCTCAACAAAGCTCAGGTTCATGTCCTGTACCTCTTTTCTATGCTGCAATTTCTTTTTCAGAACTTTATTAGTGTTGAAACTTTTGTTAATCTTTATTAAAGGATGAAGTTGTTGCTAATGTGGAAGCAAGAATAGCTGCCTGGACATTTCTCCCTGAAGGTACTTTAGTACTACCTCTATGACATTGATTGGCTTCATCTCTATAAATTCTTATTTTTACGCCAACTTGTCAATCAAATAATGGAGAACCAATGCTATTGCATTATGAACATGGGCAAAAATACGAGCCATATTTTGATTATTCTATGGACAAAATTAATCAAGAGATAGGCGGTCATCGTGTAGCTACTGTCCTTATGTATTTATCAGATGTTGATAAGGGTGGAGAAACAGTTTTTCCTAGATCAGAGGTAATTCCAATTTTGTATGACTTTCCTGTTTTTCGCGTCAACTACTTGAGACGAAAACTTTCCTTTCTTCTAAACCTACAGGCTGCAGATTCTAAACCTAAAGCATAGGGTGGGGTTAGTCGATTTGCTCTTCCTAGAACAATCAGTTGGTCCACTTCCTAAAGCATAAACAAGCAAAAGCTTCATTGTCTCAACATGAATCGCGCAAAACCTGGGCAGCTCTTAAGGGAAGAGTATATGCAAATTGTAAAGCTATTAAAAAAAAACAAACTAAAAAGCCCTAATTTTTTTCAAAAAATTAAAGCTTTACCTGCAAATTGTTGTTCCTTTGGATGGTTAGAATAGAAGAATCGAAAGTTCAAAGTACTCCCCTCGGAAGTTGAAGTTGCCGGAGAAATTGATTGTTCCAATCAAAGCAATTTTTAATTTTTGGGAAGTATGAGAATTTTCTGCAGCAGAGTTGAAGAGAAACGTGAGATTGATAGAGGGGGAGGGAGTAGAAAGTTTGTTTATTTAGTGGGGGGATTGTTTTGTATTTTTAAAAAGATTATAAGTTTTAAAAATGTTAATTGAGTCCACAATTAACTTAATTTAGTATTTAAGTATGTTTGACCTTTTGTTGGTCAATATAGTCACCAATAACTAATTCAAAACTTAAAAGGATACCTGGTTTCTTCTGATTCACTTCCTGTGCTGGTTGCAGAGCCAACTACAGCTCGGTCCATGTCCTTTGTTGGAACCCATGAATATTTAGCCCCAGAAATAATTAGAGGAGATGGTCATGGTAGTGCTGTTGATTGGTGGACATTTGGGATATTTCTGTATGAGTTACTTCATGGGAAGACACCATTTAAAGGCAATGGAAATAGAGAGACATTGTTTAACGTTGTTGGACAACCTCTTAAATTTCCCGAGGGATCCACAGTTAGTTTTGCTGCAAAGGATTTGATCCGAGGTCTACTTGTGAAGGATCCTCAAAAAAGATTAGGATTTAAACGAGGTGCCACGGAGATAAAACAACATCCTTTCTTTGAAAACGTTAACTGGGCTCTCATCCGAAGCACTCATCCTCCAGAGATCCCTAAACCAGTTGATCTTACATTTTTTAAACAATCGTCTCATGCAAACGAGAAAGCTGCTTCTGATTCTGATAGGTCATCTGGTCCTTACTTAGATTTTGAATTTTTCTAAACAAATTTTTGGAGGGTGTCACTTTGATGTTCCTAAAGAAATATTTATTTTCACTTTACAATTATCTTTTCTTTATCATAGTACTAGAGAATCCAGAGTATACATGTAGTTCTCTTACCAACTTTCTTCTTTTAACTGTTTTTCTATAGAAACTTACAAAAAGATAAAGGCATTGGAATCTCCTGAAAATGGGGTTTCCTTTTCATGTCTATACTTTCAGAAAAGTGAAAGGAATATAAAAGTAGCAGAATAAATACCTTTTCTTTTATTCTGTTAATTAGATACTTCGTTTGAGGTGTATAACCACTTTCCAGGACACCCTTTTACAGAGCACAAGACAAAGACAACACAAGAACTTTTCCTATAAAAACTTCCTTCCCCTGTTGTTTGTAAAGCAACTTAACATGTGGACAGTGGACCATTAAAAAGACGTGGTGCAGTAGATGAAGCTGCTCCTTTCTTTACCAAAGGTTCCGAGTGCAAACTCTGGGTATGAAATTTTTTTGGTAGGGAGTGCGGCACAAATTTAAATTAGTCAAGTCTTCAATATGGATACTGAAAACCGGATGGAAACCAAAAAAACTTAACATTTGGACAAATGATGATTAAGTTATCTTTGCGTTACATATTTGGCAATGTGGAGTTAGTGTCGTTTTCTAGCTAATAATATGTCAGTGTTGCTTTGACTGGACATGCTAGCTAGCTACAAGGTTTGTTTAATTTGGATATTTTTCTTTCCAAAAACTGATGCTTACTACTATTGTTGTAAGATGCATTTGGCTTTTTCCTCAAAAACAGTAAATTATCTTGAGTTGGATGCCGACATTCTGTTCAGGGTTGTGCAGTCTAGGTACCGGATTAAAGTGGAACCAATTTCTTTCTTCAATGTGCAGACGAATCATCAAAGCCACTCTTTTCTCCAAACTACATTTTCATAAATACAGATGGAACAAGGGAATGACACACACTTCTGTTTGATCATAGATTTTGAAGTCGAAATTTGAAACTTGAAAATTTGAATTTTTGAAGTTGTAATTGAAATTAAAGTCCAAAAACTTGAAAATATTTAAAGATCTAATTTCCAAAATATGATCAACTTCACGGCCAAACAAATATTTAACTATATGCGCGTACTATTTGATTTCAAAGAGACATTAATGCATGTTGATTTTGGACCTTCTTCAAAATAAACTCACATTCCAACATTCAAAAGCTAAATATGAAAGAATAAAATACAATGAATCCTATCATAGATTTAACTTTGCGTGCAACCTGTTAACTCTTGTCTTCCGCCAGATTATATCTGTTAAACATTTATTAAGAGATGGCAACGTCCTAGCTACTATCTGTCCGCTACGGCACATTCATTCTATAAGTTAGTTCATGAGATGAATGGTAACAAATTACTTATAAAACTCACTACTTCACACGTGTCATCTCATAATTCTATGAAAAGGAGGGACATTTTTAATTCAAACTAACGTTAGGTAATTAGAGTCCAATAAGTATAAGATGAAATATTTTTAACTCGAAAATTAACGTTAATAAATACAAATTTAAACTGAGGATTTATTCAGTGCGCACAAAGTGCTCACCTGAAGGACTGAGGTTGTGGCAGAGGTTGTAGCGACTGCGAGTTATCATAGTTAAAAAAAAAATACAAATTTAAACTAGTTTTAATAAGATAGGGAAAAAAAATTAATTGCCTTTCATTTAAAAATGTATACTCATTGGTAGAGTTTCAGATAAAATGTAGAAAGCAAGCATCTGCATTTTGTTTTAAGGTCGGAACCTGACAAATATTGGCGAGTTCGTCAAAGATGATTATCGAATATGGAGTACAAATAGTCAATTCTTCAACAACTACTTTATTTATATCATCTCATTAAGATGGAGGTTTCAAGAATATTGTGCCTCACCTTGGAGTATTTGCTACGAAAATAAAATGTTTTCAACCGTGTGATTAATTACTAATTGGAGACGTGCACTTTGATAGAAAATTTTCGAGAATCAACCATGTTAATTTTGACCTATATTTTAAATTATTATTTTTTTCATCATATTAATATTAGAAAAATTCCAATTGTATTTTTCATATGTTAAACTAATTCAATTTTGAGAAGCAAAATATAACAATTATTTTGCGTATGAAAAAGTGACATTAACCATCTCGGAAATCTCCAAGTGAAAACCATTTAGGAAATCACGCTAAATATTTGTCCTCATATGGAACGCAAGCTTGTTTTTACCGTAACAAACTTGTATATATATATATATATCTAAGCTACAAGAAAGTCAATCGAACTTAACACTCCCTAATTAATTAGTTACCACTTAACACAAACTCAAAGCCAATGGCTAAAACAGATTCAAAAAAATTTCCAACAATTCAACAATGTGAATCAAAGGGACGTGAAGATCAAACAGTAGTAGCAGACATGGATGGAACATTACTAGTTGGACGTAGCTCTTTTCCTTATTTTGCACTTGTTGCTTTTGAAGTTGGTGGTATTTCTAGGCTTATTTTTTTAATCTTAGCATCTCCGTTGGCTGGCTTTTTGTACTATTTCATCTCTGAATCCGCGGGGATTAGAGTCCTAGTCTTTGCAACATTTGTTGGTATGAAAGTATCTGATATAGAATCCGTGGCACGAGCTGTTCTACCAAAGTTTTATTCGAGCGATTTGCATCCTGAGACATGGCGTGTTTTTTCATCGTGCGGGAAAAGGTGTGTTCTTACCGCAAATCCTAGGATTATGGTTGAACCAGTTTTGAAGGAATATTTAAGTGTTGATATTGTTATTGGGACAGAAATATGTACCTATAAAGGAAGAGCTACTGGATTTGTTAATGAATCTGGAGTTCTTGTTGGTGATAACAAAGCTAAGGCACTTCAAAAGGCTTTTGGTTCTAAATTTACTCCTCATATTGGACTTGGTGATCGCAAAACTGATTTTCCCTTCATGAATTTATGCAAGGTTTGTAAATTTCCTCTAATTCTGTGATATTATTTTCGTTTTAGTCTATTCTTAATTAAGTGATACGTTTTTATATTTTTTTTAAAAAACTTGTTATATCCTTTATGGCATGCTCTTGTTTTCATAGAATTAGCATGCATATGTAACGCAATAGTTTTTCAATTTTTAATTTGTGTCCAATCATTCATAAAAATTTGTATCCAATCATTCAGTGTGAAATAGTAAGTTTTTCAATGCATAATTAGTACGTGGTGTGAAACATTTTAAACACAAAAAGTCACAACAAGGTACGTAGTAGTTATTAGGTAAACTTTTATGAGTACTATTCTTTCCAGTCTAAAATATCATTAACTAATTTTCTTACAGGGTGTATTACATCCTAAAAATTCATTTATTTTGGATCAAAGGGAGTATTTTTTTTAATGAAAGTAGTACTCCCTTCCTCCGTTCTTTCTTACTTGTCAATTATGCATTTTGTTTTCCTCTCAAGACAACATTGATTATTAGTTTTACTAAATTTTCCATATATATTAGTATACTTTTTTAAAAATTGATTTCTAATATTCCGTAATTTTGAGAAATGATTGTTCAATCATAAATATATAATTGGAGAATGTATTAATTCTCTCGTAATTTGATAAAGCTGATAGAAAAAAGAAAAAAAATTATTTTTACTATATTAGATTAGGTAAAGAGGAAACAAAAAGAGTAATTTGTTTATTTATATCAAATTACACTAATACCAACAAGGGTTGTGGTTAGTAGTCATTCATTCTTAACCAGAGGTCTCGAGTTTGAGTCTCTTTGAATCCCTTGGATAATCTAAAAAGTTTACATTATCGAGCACATAACTTAGATCGGGAATAAAACAACTCTTCTCTTATTACCTTATGCAGGAAAGTTACATAGTACCACCTGAGCCTGGTGTGAAGCCCATGAGCCAAGATAAGTTACCAAAGCCCATTGTGTTCCATGATGGCCGACTTGTTCAAAAACCAAGCCCTTTAATGGCACTCATCATTATTCTTTGGATCCCTGTTGGATTCCTCTTAGCATGTTTGCGTATAGCCGCGGGTACGCTCTTACCGATGCCTTTAGTCTATTACGCCTTTTGGTCCCTTGGGGTTCGAGTCATAATCAAAGGCAACCCACCTCCTCCGGCCCGAAAATCCACGGGCCAAACCGGTGTCCTATTTATTTCCTCTCATCGAACCCTTCTTGACCCAATTTTCCTCTCAACGGCCCTAGGTAGGCCCATCCCTGCTGTCACTTACTCGCTGTCACGACTCTCTGAGATTATTTCACCTATTAAAACGGTCCGTCTTAGCCGTGACCGCATAACGGATGCTAACATGATCAAAAAACTTTTACAAGAAGGTGATTTGGTTATATGCCCTGAAGGAACAACATGTAGAGAACCATTTTTACTAAGATTTTCGGCTTTATTCGCGGAATTAACCAACGAGCTTGTCCCCGTGGCGATGTGTAATAAAATGAGCATGTTCCATGGCACGACGGCTAGGGGTTGGAAAGGAATGGACCCTTTTTATTTCTTCATGAATCCTAGCCCTTCATATGAGGTGAATTTTTTGAACAAATGGCCATATGAATTGACTTGTAAAGCTGGAAAATCAAGCCATGATGTGGCAAATTATATACAGAGGACGATTGCCGCAACGTTATCGTATGAGTGCACCAATTTTACAAGGAAGGATAAGTACATGGCTTTGGCTGGAAATGATGGAACAGTGACTACAAAATCTGAATTTGCAAGCAAGAAAGTGACGACGGGCTGCTAATAACAGAGATAAAAGTTTATGATTTGTCTTCAAGAGTTCTAATTTGGTGTTTTTCCAAATTTTATAGACATGTATAGTTAGTATACTTTAATAGAAAATCGAAATAAACTAGTAGTATAGCGGTTGTCTTGATATAAGGACAGATAAAATACTTCGAAAAAATATGTACAAAATTACCTCATAAATATGCAAACGTTTTAAATAGATGTACATAAATTATGCTATACGTTTCACCGTATTACAAGAAATGATAGGTAAGATCATCTTTTAAAATCATGAATTTATCGCTATGTTAATAAATTTAAAAAATGGCCTTAAATGAGCTTTTGGGAAAAAATCATACGATCGTATTAGAAGTATTCTTGGACCGGCTCAACAATGAGGCCCAAAACATAATTTTCTGAATCAAATTTCACCGATCAGTCAATTACAATTTTTTCTTCAGGGTAATTGATTTACAGTGTTAGGTGCAATAAATACACTATATCATGCATGCCAGTAGAGTGTTTATTGCTTGAAAAAAATGGAAAAAGGAGTTATCCCCTTTGTCCAATTATAGTTGTCCACTGTTCTATTTTAGGATGTCCAATAATTTTTGTTCACTATATGAAATCAATGAATAATTTTACACTTAGTTCCTAATTTATTCTTATCATTAATTATAATTCTTCTCTATTACATTTTTCAAGACATTGTATTTATTATATTGAAAGGGTGATATAGTAAAATTATTCTTTTGTTTATAGTTTTTAAGAAGAGCGTAAAGTCAATAGTGGACAAATATTGTTGGACAGATAGTGTCTAATAGTTAATACTACTATTCAAGTAATATTTGACTGTTTGCAATTTGCAGTATAAATAACATAAATATTTTTTTCCAAAAAAAATAAAATGAAGTCAGTTGTAGGCATAAAGTATTTTCCTTTTTAACTTCAATGTCATTTACCAAAAAAGTACTCTCCTTTTTTTCACATTGTACACTGGCAGTAAAAGCTACATACCATAATCTAATAACAGAAAATGAAAGTAATCCACGAAAGATTTCTCCAATGAAAACTAAATTTACTTTTGAGTTGATTTCTGATATGGTTATTAAGTGTTAACTTCTCACAAAGTCACTTCTCTTATTAAAAAAATTGGAATCAAGAAGAAAGACGACTTCGTGTAACACTCTGTGTTGTTTGATGGATTGTTGTCTTCATGTTATTCTTCTATTCTCCCTCTGTTTCATTGCCGTTTTTCCTCACCTATCTCATTCTTCACGTCAATCTTCCTTGTGGAATGGCAATAAAGAAATGTACTGATCCTATCTCCAGTTTCCCTCTTCCTCTTTTACTGGTTACAGCTTTGATGAATGCTTTTTTTTTTCTTTCAGAAAAACGTCGATTTTGAAACTGACGACTAATTCCTTGTCGACTCCAATTGATCCAACACGGGTTACACAAATTTCATGGCACCCCAGGTTTGTTTATATATGGCTGATTTCCTGAGAATTGCAAAGAATGAAGATTAATTTGATGGAGCCCTGATAATGATTTTGAATTTATGCAGAGTTTTTATATATAGGAATTTTTTGACAAATGAAGAGTGTGATCATTTCATCTCACTGGTTAGCCTTTTTTTTCCCTCTTTCTTTCTCTGTTCCTATCTTTCATTCAGAAATGTGGGAGTTTTAGTTAATGCAAGTAAAGGTCATTTTGCGTTAGTTTAAAGAGAAAATAATTTCTTATATACATTTTACTATTATTTGAGTTGAGGGTCTAAACATCCTCTCTATGTTCACAAGTTCTGCTTTCGCGCTACTCTCTCCAGGCCCCTCTTATGAGATTACACTGACTAACCGAGTGTTTAGCCCCTATATATCATTGGATGTGAACTTAGCATCCTCTATATGTATATATATATATATTCATCTCCAAATTATTTCACTTTTGAATTTTTCGCCTTTGAATAACATTGGCTTTGGTGAATCAGGCTAAAGATAGTCTGGAGAAATCCATGGTAACTGACCTTGAAACAGGGGAGAGCATAGAGAGTGAATATCGGACAAGTACTGGCGCATTTCTCAACAAAGCTCAGGTTCATGTCCTGTACCTCTTTTCTATGCTGCAATTTCTTTTTCAGAACTTTATTAGTGTTGAAACTTTTGTTAATCTTTATTAAAGGATGAAGTTGTTGCTAATGTGGAAGCAAGAATAGCTGCCTGGACATTTCTCCCTGAAGGTACTTTAGTACTACCTCTATGACATTGATTGGCTTCATCTCTATAAATTCTTATTTTTACGCCAACTTGTCAATCAAATAATGGAGAACCAATGCTATTGCATTATGAACATGGGCAAAAATACGAGCCACATTTTGATTATTTTATGGACAAAATTAATCAAGAGATAGGCGGTCATCGTGTAGCTACTGTCCTTATGTATTTATCAGATGTTGATAAGGGTGGAGAAACAGTTTTTCCTAGATCAGAGGTAATTCCAATTTTGTATGACTTTCCTGTTTTTCGCGTCAACTACTTGAGACGAAAACTTTCCTTTCTTCTAAACCTACAGGCTGCAGATTCTAAACCTAAAGCATAGGGTGGGGTTAGTCGATTTGCTCTTCCTAGAACAATCAGTTGGTCCACTTCCTAAAGCATAAACAAGCAAAAGCTTCATTGTCTCAACATGAATCGCGCAAAACCTGGGCAGCTCTTAAGGGAAGAGTATATGCAAATTGTAAAGCTATTAAAAAAAAAAAAACTAAAAAGCCCTAATTTTTTTCAAAAAATTAAAGCTTTACCTGCAAATTGTTGTTCCTTTGGATGGTTAGAATAGAAGAATCGAAAGTTCAAAGTACGCCCCTCGGAAGTTGAAAGTTGCCGGAGAAATTGATTGTTCCAATCAAAGCAATTTTTAATTTTTGGGAAGTATGAGAATTTTCTGCAGCAGAGTTGAAGAGAAACGTGAGATTGATAGAGGGGGAGGGAGTAGAAAGTTTGTTTATTTAGTGGGGGGATTGTTTTGTATTTTTATAAAGATTATAAGTTTTAAAAATGTTAATTGAGTCCACAATTAACTTAATTTAGTATTTAAGTATGTTTGACCTTTTGTTGGTCAATATAGTCACCAATAACTAATTCAAAACTTAAAAGGATACCTTTCCTTTAATTTTCTCTACCTTACTACTTACAGTGTTGCTTGCTATTGAGTTGACTATTTAAATAGGAAATCAATTTCCTTTCTTGTTTATTCCATTGAAGAAGTTGTCTTCCTTCATCTGGATCCGGTAAATGGGTCGTATGATTTCTCAGTTGGTCCTACCATTTCACTTGCTGCTAATGCTGGGGGTCTCTCTGGCTTCACTAAATGATCATCGCTACAACATTGGAGATGAAGTCCCTCTTTTTGTCAACAAAGTTGGTCCTTTGAATAATCCCAGGTATTCCCTCAATTGGGGTTTATGAGATTTTCTTTTGATTCCATGAGGAATGTTGTTAAAATTGTTGAATTTTGTGCTGGTATTGACAATATTGTTGCCATTAATCAGACTTGTTGCCGAAAAACTCTTCCTGTCACCTTAGGTAGATCCAGGATGTTTAAATACTCCTTCTGTCCCAATTCATAAGATACTTTTTCGTTTTTCAAGAGTCAATTGATCGGCAATTTGCACACGGAGTATTCAAATTTTTTGAAATGAAATTTATATATTTGTAAACTACGTAAAAAGTACTATAAATCACAATGATTGATAATTTAAAATGTTTAAAAGAGCTATGAAAAACTTACATTAAAAAAATAGACATGTTTGAATCTCGAAATCCCGAAAAGTGCCACATTTTTGGCACGGAGGGAGTACCATTACGCTCGTTGATACTCTGTGACAGTGGCCATAAACTTAGTATAAATACATACATTCAGCTTGGAAGAGAGGTTCAACTAATAATCACCAAGAATTTTAAACAAAATGTGCTGCTACTAAGGATAACTGAGTTTTAAGGCTTCAAGTCTAGCCACTTTGAGAAAGGCCTAGTGACCAAGTTTGTTCGCTATAGTTTCCCAAATTGGAATACACAATGTTTAATTTTGTTGTTCGAAGTGTTCTCAGGAGATGTCGAATCAGTTGATGATTTAGATTAGAAAGTGGGAAGTAACGGATGTTATGTCATTTCCCAAGGACAAAGAGACTGATGAGGGACTATAATTGGTCTTGAGTGCTTCTATTCTTGAAGACGAAGATAGCCATTGATGGCATTTCACCTAAAAGTTGTCTTTAAGAATCATTTCTATATCCTTTATCCATTGAAAAATGAATTGCTTAAACTTAAATTGTGCGAAGTGAAATGAGTTGTCATCTCCTTATATGGTTTTGACAATCCTCAACCCACAGGCTAGCTTTTGGGGTTAAATTAGAACTTATATCTATTTTCTCAAAATGGAAACAAAACCAGATTCATCCTTATTCTTGATTTACCCAATATTGGATTCCAATGCATGACCTGAGCAACAAAAGAATTTAGGGGTTCGGCAGAGCCAAGTAGTTTAAGGCTAACCCCTATATTTATGGCAAGATATTCACTTAATATTTATAAATAATTTACCAGAACCCAGTAAACAAATAGAGTAGTGGTTCAAAACTAATAAACTTAAAATCCTGAATTTGCCTTTGTAGTCCAATGTTACATTGATCATGCATCACATGTCCAGTCCTAGCATGGGTAAGGGGTGCTAAGGGTCCCCTATTTGTTGAGGGTATGGCCTATTGTCTTCTTCTGTGGTTGTAGCCTTTGGCAATCCTCATCTCATGAGCTAAACTTTGAGTTGAGTTAGGTCAAGGTTCATACTTTTAACTTATCGCTCCTCATCTTTGTGGCAAATTATTTTTTGACTTGCAAGCTTGATATGTTTCAGAGAGAGAGATTTTGTTCATGGTACACATATTTTACAATTCTTCAATACATGTTCGAAAATTGGACACTTAATTCTTTTTTTTAAGTTTAGATGGTAATGGGTATTAGATTCCTAAAAATGTTTGGTATATCCACACTTTTAAACATGAATTTGCTTCTTTCTTGGAGCTTTCCTTCTTCCATGATTGTATTTGTTATGCTAATTTTTGTGGTATACTTCTAAACATTTCTCTTTTGGATCATCTTTCATTGCGGCTTTCTTTCTTCCCATTTTTGCTTTCTTTTGCCAAAAAGAACTATGAGATCTTTCAGCAAAATGTATCCTCCTTAGGAAGTCAATGATTTTTTATTTTTTTTGCACTTGTTGATATCTTCCATGGATTTCCCAGGCTATTGTGGTACATGCTAAAACTTCTATGTGCTACATAAATGAAGTTGTTAATCATCTTGAAGAACTTTCAGCATCTGCATTTAAATGTCTTCAAGTTTCAAGGTCCCCATTCTCTTATCTTTTTCTAAGCATGAAATATTTTCCCTTTTCAAATCCCAACATAAACCAACATATAAGGATATTTTTCTTTCTTTTTAGATGGAAGCTCTCCAACTCTGCATCTTCCATTGTTATTTTTTTTAGTGGCTTTAGTAATTCTTAGAGGGTCTTTCTCATTCTTGTGCAAACTTCTATGTAATTTGAATCATCAAAGGAAGGACCTTAATGTAAAATATCCAAGTTTTCTTGCTTGCTGAAAAAGTAAAATGTCTGAGTTTTCACCCTTGCAGCAGATAATCCTGATATTCCTATATCTGTTATTCTTTTGCAGTGAAACATACCAATATTATGACCTGCCATTCTGCCAGCCAGGTCAGCATTTTTAGCTTGCACTTGAGTATAGTCGACCCCAACTAGTTAGGCATAGTTGCTTTGTATCTTGCTAGGGTACTGTCATATTTTCTTGCAAACATGCTTCGTTTTTCTTTCTGTTGAGCTGAGGGTCTATTGGAAACAACCTCTTTATCCCCACAAAGGTAGAGGTAAGGTTTGCATACATCCTATCTTCCCCAGACTCCACTTGTGGGATTATACTGGGTATGTTGTTGTATTATACAGACACACTATACTATTAACTTCTTCTGCTTCTTATATACTTGCATAAACTCAAAATATTATTACTGGTTAGACCAAGAGCAAACTGTGATAAAAATATTGTACTGTTTTATATATTTTGTATTTGTATGACTGGTAATCTCTAGAGTTAGTTATATTAAAAATTTAACTACTTACCTTCAAGAATTTTGACCTTTTAGTTTCACTTGACAGGTGAGCTGCTTCCGGAAAAGGAATCCCTTGGGGAAGTTCTGAATGGTGACCGTTTAACCAATACCTTGTATCAGTTGAAATTTGGAGCAGAGAAAGATGGGGTTGTCCTGTGCCACAAGAAGCTTGATCAAAATGATGTCTCAAAGTTCAGGGCTGCTATTATTAAAGATTACTACTACCAGATGTACTTTGATGATCTCCCTTTCTGGGGATTTGTTGGGAAAATTGAAGATGAACTCTGGACCCTGGATGGAAAGGGCCCCAAGTATTTTCTCTTTAAGCATGTCCAATTTGATGTCCTTTACAATGGAAACCAAGTCATAGAAATACATGCTCTCAGTGATCCAAGCAATGTTGTGGATATAACAGAGGATATAGACCTAAATATTACCTTCACATATAATGTACGCTGGAATGAAACATCAATTCCATTCAAGAATAGAATGGCAAGATACTCTAGGGCTTTGGCAAAACCAGTGAACCATCAAATTCATTGGTTCTCGATAATTAATTCAATTGTTATTTCTGTTCTGCTGATGACCTTTTTTGCTGTGAGTATGATGCAGCGCCTTAAGAATGATCTGAGAAAGTAAGCCTCATATCATGCCCATTTTTGCTAATGGCACAACAAATAATCTATGTACATGAAAGCATCTGAAGCTGAAAGCACTGTCATCATATTTGTATGACTGATATGCAGATGGTCTAGCGGTGATGAAGAGGAAGACAAAGAAGTGGGTTGGAAGTACCTTCACGGTGACGTTTTTAGATGTCCACCAAACATGCCTCTGCTCTGTGCAGTTATTGGTGCTGGTACCCAGCTTTTGACCTTGTAAGTTAGCTCTTATTTATTTGTCAGATGATTTCATAGTTGTTTATGCCGTTCATATGACAAGCGAGCCATCTTCTATTTCTTTTCTGACTTATCACTGGAAGAGAATCTCTGTGCATAAGATTGTCTGTTTGATATTTAGCTCAAGATATTGTATCTCTAGGCTCTAGTTTAGGATATTGTATTACATACCCTATAAGATCCAGTAATAAGAAAAATATGAACCTCATCATATATTCAACACTATCACGCCAAAAAATGCAGATTCTGAGGACATCTATTCTCCTCAAAAGAGAAGTTTTGCTTTCTTCCTTGGAAGCATCTTTTGTTCTTGACTTCTTTCCAACCAGACTATCCACATGATACGTTATGCAGTAGACTTCGACATATGCTTCCTTCTTTTATCCATCCTCTGCCCTTGCCAACAAACTCTTACAATGCCTTTGTCATTTTGTGACAATGTCATCCCACCATTATGTTCCATGGTATCAGTATCAGCATCATTTATCTTCTATATTCGGTATTGTTCCGGTAAAATTAAGATATAATGGGAAGATAGCTTCGAGGAAATATTGTTTAACCTTGACAATTAGAGCTTAGATATTTTGAAAATATATAGGACAGAAGGTCTTCTAACAAGATAATGTAAAACCTTCAATTTATGAATTCTAAAGATAATGTAAAACCTTTTCCATTTAAGCTCTTTTTTGTATTTTCAAAGTAACCGGTGTGGTTTCCATCATCTGCCAATATTTTCCATGTATGGGTGGTCCTTATTGCATGATTATGTTCGACCTATTTGTATTACCTAATTGATCATGCAAGGCACATTTTTTGCCTTTGGTTAACTGTTTCTGATGCCCATACAGGTTCTGCTGCTTATTTATATTGGCGTTTCTTGGTGTCCTATATCCATATAATCATGGAACTCTCTTGACATCCTTGGTCATAATTTATACCCTTACATCTGCAGTTGCAGGATACAGCTCTGCCTCCTTCTACAGTCAATTTATTGAAACTGGATGGGTAACTTTTATCAACTTCCTTCCAACTTTTTATATCTGTAATTATTGTTTATCCAGGAACTGAAAACTTTTTTTTTTTACCTCTAGGAAAGGAGCGTTACTTTCTCCGCGGTGCTCTTTCTTGGACCATTCCTCTTAATGCAGTTTTTCCTTAATTCAGTCGCGGTATCATTTGGGGCTACTTTAGCTATTCCATTTGGCACCATACTTGTCATTATTCTTGTTTATACCCTCATCGCTATTCCACTGCTTGCTCTTGGTGGGATAATTGGCAATCGGCGTAGGTCTGAGTTTCAAGCACCGTCTGCCACAAAGAAGTGCGCAAGAGAGATTCCATCTCTAGCTTGGTACAGGAAGACACCTGGTCAAATGTTTTTGGCTGGTCTTCTACCTTTCAGTGCCATTGTTGTTGAGTTACACCAGTTGTATTCTACCCTTTGGGGCTACAAGATTTCGACTCTTCCTGGTATTCTGTTCTTTATGTTTATAATCCTCATACTGCTCACTGTGACCCTAAGCATCGGTTTGACATATATTCAGCTGACAGTGGAAGACCATGAATGGTGGTGGCGGTATGTATCAATTTGGATGTTTCTTTGTACTAATCATTCCTAGGGACTGCATGCATACATAAATTTGGATATTTCTTTGTACTAATCATTCCTAGGGACTGCATGCATACATATCTCGCCCGTTTTATTTTCCTCACTGCATAAGCTACTTTCTTGCAACTTTATGACATTAATGAGTGACTCATGGAATCATGATACCGTGAGAGGTATTGTGTGTTACAGAAGAACTGAATGACAACTGAGTATTGTTGAACACCAGATGCAGGACACTAGAGTTAACAAGAGGTCCCTCTCTTCGGGACCAAATCCCACTTTTTTCTGTTCATCAATTACAGTTAACATCAGTTTTGACATTCATGGTAGTTGTCATTCTGGTAATGAAATTGAACTCTTTACATTTGTTAAATACTTAAATTGGGAGTGCCAAATAAGTTTTACTTAGTGAGTCTGGTGTAATTGTTCTTGCGCATTTATGCATAAGTTGTAACCCTCATTTATACTGGATCAATATATATGTTGAGCAAAATGTGAACCCAGATTCAAAAGAATTTTAGATTCCCAAACAATTATTAGCAGATATCTAAGAGATAACTGCAATGTAACTTAATTTACTAAGTTGCTGCTTGCGATTCATTTGTTCTATTTGCTAGTTCTTTCACAATATCTGTGGCTGCCTCAGAAGACTGATAAATATGGTATTTGATGCAGGTCTATTTTCCGTGGGGGCTCAACTGCTGTATTTATGTTTGCCTACTCCATATACTTCTATTGCAAATCAAACATGAGTGGGGTCTTGCAGACTACCATCTTCTTTGTATACAACACTTGCATATGCTATGCATTTTTCCTTATGCTTGGAACAATCAGTCTCCGCGCTTCCTTGATGTTTACCCGTCACATCTACCATGCTGTAAAAAGTGAATGAGAGTCCTCCTTGATTGCTACTATTTGAAGCACTCTTCAGTGATCTGTGAAGTTGAACTAAAAGGGTTTCCATTTTCGTGCTTGATATCATTTCACAACCTCTTCAGTGATATGAGAAAGCTAAACAAAATGAGAAAATGTCTCTTGTTTTTGGACAACTGAGCATTGACAGCAAAACTAGCAGAAGTTGATGTCAAATTTGGAAACTACTTGGCATCCCTATATGAGCTGGAAATATGACCAGATGTTGGTTGAAACTATATAGTTACATTTTATCGGTTCTTGTTCTTAACATCAATTGAAATTTTTAGCACTGCCTGGTAGTTCATTCTGCTTACTGTTTGTTCCTATACAACTCAGGTTTGATTCGATGAAAGTTGTTTTGCAGTTTATGGACCATTCTATATGTATCAATTATGTGAAAATACGATGAAATCTGCATATTTTTAACTGCAAACACGAGACAACTCCAGAGGCATTGGACGGAAGTTGCTGGTAGGGTTTTTCGTTCCACAAAGATCTTAATAACAGTATTAATTAGCGCGAAATAAAGAAGTTTCTCATATTTAAAATTCACATTTGACACTAACTAGAGAAGTTGAAATGTCGGAGAATTCTCCTTTTATTCTTTTAAGCATGGTGAAAAACTAGAGAGTTGCTGGGATACAAAATCTTGAAGGATACTCTTTGTTGCCATGGAAATGGAAACAGTTTCACTTAAATTTTTTCCTTCAAGGCAATGCAGATATCAAATAATTAGCCATGGCCAAGTAAAAATAATTATTGAAATGTTGGTCTTCAACTCAAATGAGCATCCATTACTGCAAATCTATTCAGATGGTCGCTGTCCCAAAACTGAAATATCCTCATAACGCTTCTGTATTTCAGTAACAAAAAAAAAACAAGATTGACACAAGCCCAACAAGAACATAATGAGAAGAACTATGAGCAAGAGGGGAAAAACATGGCCTAGAATGAAAAAAATGCTCTTCATGCTTTACCTTGAGAGCTAAATATTTAATCGGAACATTTTGAGCAGAGGCGCACACAAGGTACCGTAATAAACCCTTTCGTCAAAAAATTACAAAATTATTTTTATTGTATGTATAATAACGGATGAATCCCTTAGTGTGTTTAGCTCTTTATATTTTGAACTTCACCGCTGATTTTGAGATGACAAAATATCACAAGAAATAACATACCCCAATATTGTTGTTCTCCCAGACCTTATGAACCCCATAATCTACTGCCTGCAAATAGTAAAAATAAAAATAATGAAACCAAACTCGAACCCATCTGAATCTGATAAACAATTGCATTAACATCGATTCAGATCCAATTTTAAACATCCCCAAATAATGATCCGAAACAGAAACACAAATATGAATAAGATAAAGAAAACAGACAAACCCGTTCACCAAGTAAAGCGCCAGCGATTACGAATGTTACATAGACAGAGTTGCGACGCATAAGCACTCTGTAAAGTCCTTCAAAAAGCCCACCTCTGCTTCTCTCCATTGCAGGGGATTCTACTTTCTACCTCTGCTCCTTTTTCTCCAAAAGAAATCATTTTCTAAAATAGAAAATACAACTCACTTTTTATTTCCACCCATTAGACCGGTTCAACACTGCACCTGGTTTTTTGGAAGTAATGAGAACATGTTATTAATGTGATATCTTTTAAAACTTTTTTTACTTTCGCCCACCCTAACTAAATCCTCATACTACATGCCAACGATATCATAATTTGTTTATCCATTGAAAGTAACCATAATAGCCATGTTCATATTCTTACTTTGAAAAACTGTAGTGTAGTGGCAAAGCGCAAACAGCTCAACATCGAATTTCATGATTATGTATGGAATTTAAGTAGATATAACATGCTCCTTTTCATGTTCTAGTATGTCATCTCCTTCTTCTCGAATATGTTTGTTATCTTACTTTCATTACTTCAAGTATAATTATGTCATTCAAGTATCAACTTGATTATTAGCTATTGTAATTGAGTAGGACCAGTTTGGCCATAGATTTCACGAATAATATTTGGGGGGAAATTTGGCAAATACTATTTGTCCATACAATTTGTCATTATTTGACAAATACCCAAAATTTCCAAATACTAGTTTTTTCTAATATTTGGGTCAAATCTCATTATTTGGGATCTTTTAAAAATTGAAATTTTACACCAAATTTTTATTTTTTACAAAAACACCGTCTATAGTAGTTGTTTGTGTTGTATTACATAATGTTTTACGTGAACACCAAAGTAGTGATGGAAATATTTAGTGAATATGAAAGTGATGATATGGTTGTTGGTGAAAATGATGAACAATCGGCTCAAGGTAACAAAGTCATGTGTTTTGTTTACCTCACGATGTATGGAATTATGCTTGTTGCACTCACTCCAAACTACCACGTTGCTTCAGTGTCATAGACACTACTTGTTATTTGTTGCAACGAAGATCCAATTGACTTGTAATACAAACTTATGGTTAGTTTTGATAGTTTTTATATTTATGGGTATAAATCATATTTTTCTAAAAAAGTGAAATATGTTACCCAAATACTATGGCCAAACACATGGTGAAATTTCACCCATTGTTATTTGTTGCAACGAAGATCCAATTGACTTGTAATACAAATTTATGGTTAGTTTTGATAGTTTTTAAAACTTATGGGTATAAATCATATTTTTCTAAAAAAGTGAAATATGTTTCCCAAATACTATGGCCAACACATGTGAAATTTCACCCAAATTTTTACCTAATAATATTTGGAAATCTATGGCCAAACGCTAGCATATGTTTGCAAAAAAATTGCACGACCAAACACGTCCGGTTGTCATACATTGGTCCAATTGTTTGAGCAATATTTTTATTTTACCCATGATTTTAAATTGGTCTAGAATCTCCTTACCTGCATTAATTTTGGACTATCTCTTGTGAGATGACTCTTTTTCTGTAGAACAGACCCAAGAATTGTAAATGCAAGGGGCACCATTATCTTATAATTAATATAGACATGTTGATTTTCTTTCCCTTCAAGTATTATTGACGTGATCAATTACTCTGGAGCTGTCTGATTTTTTGTTATTCTTTTATAAAAAGAATCAACCAAAAAAATCAGGTGAACTCACTAAATATCTACATGTGCATCCCAAATCAACTACTAGAACCACTTTAGCTTTGTTTCTAGGGATGTCAAATATAGATATATAGTTTCGAGGTTATCGAATGTTTGTGCCTCTCCAACTCTAAAGTCAAAATTTTCATTAAAGAAATCAAAATATGAAGAAGTGAATACACAAAAAGCCAAAGAAATCTAACATCTACCATCAATGTAATTTTTCTTTGAAGGAGATTCAGATGAACCCCTTGCTCTCACCTAGCTCCGCGTATGCTCTTAAGGTCAATGTTATATACAATATAGTCCGATTGTAAGTTGTGATCATGAAAAACATTAATTAAGAGATAATGGTGAATTATAATTATTTATTCTTAACAAGAAGAGTTAAATGTGACAATATAACAATCTTTTCATGTTAATTTCCCTATTCAATGATAAACATATTTTACTTCCACGTTCAAAAGAGAACGTGATTATCACTTCCATCTCTTAATTTTCTGAAACCTAGCTATGTTCATGAAAAACTAGAAAATGCACCAAGCTAGAAATAAGTTTAAAATGTGACAAATAACCATTAATTGAGTAATATTAAACCAAAAATATTGAATTGAAACGAACCAAACCAAATTAAGAACTGGGCTGTTGACTTTCTTCCATTTAAAGGGCCTGCGTGCTATGGCCCAGTTTCTATTGCATCCTGCCCGAGCCCGGCCCATTTAGAGCCCTATATTTAAAAAGATAGCAATCCACTGGACTTCTCATCATCGGCTTACAAACCCTAAATCGAGGGTTTTCTCTTACAGGTACCTTTCTCATCTACCTCTTTCTCATTCACATTGATGCATCATTTCTAGGTTCAATTTGTGTATAAGATTGTAAGATTTTGTTTCCTTTGGTTGTTTGAAGACGTGAAAATGATGATTTGTTTTCTTTAGCTGCCGTGATATATCTGAAAGTTTTTTTTTTTGATTGACAGGTGAGTTTGACAGAGAAGGAGAGCTTTTTGAGCCATGAGGTATGAATCAAGCTCCAAATTTCTGTTTTTTTTCTTTTCAATATGTTAGTTATTTCACTGTGTTATATCTTCTATGTTTTGCTTTGATAATCAATTTTCTGCATTGATTTGCTGATTATAAATAGTTGATTTACTTTTCTATGCAATTTTTCTTCATATTTATGTTTTGAAAAGGGCAGGGATACTACGCATCTGAAGCCTTCATACTGTTAGAATATTGGTTGTAACAAGCTTGTGTTATTTGGCATTATTTTGATTTCCTTTGACGATTAATCTCGGAAAATGACATTATATGTGGTTAATTAGTTACTTTTTTGATTATTTCCTTAGTTAAGTGAAAGAATCCCTGATTATAAATCCTTTCTTTCAAATAGCTTGTCTTTTATGTGAAAACCACAAGTGTTATGATTGTGGAGTTCGTGTTAATCAAAATGCTGACAAATGCCTCCTTCCGTGTTCAGCATGGAAATAACAGTTTTGATTGATTTTTTATTTTCATTGTATTCTTTACTATAGGACATTTTTTTTTAGTTTAGTTATATTTTGTCTCAATTATTAAACAACCCCTTCTGATGTCCATATAAAGGTATTGCTGATTACCTGTAGTTAATTAGTTTGATTTTGATTCTTTTACAGTAAGCTTCAGAGTGAGGCTCTCAGAGAAGCCATCACTGTGATTAAGAATGATTCAGCAGAGAAGAAAAGGAAGTTCAGTGAGACCATTGAGCTCCAGATTGGACTGAAGAACTATGATCCCCAAAAGGACAAGCGTTTCAGTGGATCCGTTAAGTTACCACACATTCCTCGCCCTAAGATGAAGATCTGTATGCTTGGAGATGCTCAGCATGTTGGGGAGGTAATCCTAATGAATATGTTTACTAGTGCCATTAACTGAGCTGACTATGTCAAGAACTATTCTAGAGCTGAAAGGCTTTTACTGATATAATATCTCTTGCTTGTAAGATTTAGCTTAACAATGAGATGATTAATTTCTCATTAAACAAGCCTGGAACATCAGAAATTTTCTTCTTAGCCCACCAGACATGACACTTTAATGTGAATTTAGTCTTTGTTATTGCTGTTGTCTTGGAAATTTTGTGGCTGTTAAGTTCAGATTGGCCAAAAACTACATACATCTGTTTGTACCATTTCCGAGTCTTCAGTTTCTTTGTTTAGAAAGATGATTAAAACTTTGTGCTCTATTTTTGCAGGCAGAGAAGATTGGTTTGGAGTACATGGATGTTGAAGGCTTGAAGAAGCTCAACAAGAACAAGAAACTGGTCAAGAAGCTTGCAAAGAAATACCATGCTTTCTTGGCTTCAGAATCTGTCATCAAGCAGATTCCCCGTTTGTTGGGGCCTGGTCTGAACAAGGCAGGCAAGTTCATAGATTATCTTAATTCTTTATATGCTGTTTGTTTAGGTTTGCTGCTTTTCTTCATCCAGTAGAATGTTGCATTTGTCACTTTCTTTCAGTAGCAATCATGTGCTCGTGGTAGGTTTAGTTCAGCTTGTATGTTCAAATTCATGTCTGAGTTGTTTTTCCATTTGTAAATGCAGGTAAGTTTCCCACCCTTGTTTCCCACCAAGAGTCTCTTGAATCCAAGGTTAATGAGACCAAGGCCACAATCAAGTTTCAATTGAAAAAGGTGCTCTGCATGGGTGTTGCTGTTGGAAACATGGATATGGAGGAGAAGCAGATCTTCCAGAATGTGCAAATGAGTGTCAACTTTCTTGTTTCATTGCTGAAGAAGAATTGGCAAAATGTGAGTACATCTCGGAGTCCCTAGTTAAACCATCTCTATTCAACTTTTTCAATATTTTCCTTGACTGAATCCTTTACATTCTAGTTCTAATTTTCGCAATTTTTTTGTCAATACAGGTTAGGTGCTTGTACTTGAAGAGCACCATGGGAAAAACACAACGTATCTTTTAAGAAGATTTTCTGTTTCTGTTGGAAATTTTCAGGCTTTCTGGTTGTGAGCTATTGACACTCTTGAAAATTTTGGGTAGTGATTTTTGTTATCTTGTTTTGAATATCTATAAAACTTTTTAGGGGTATGTTTGCTTTCAATTTTTCTTCGTTAATGATGTTATCACTGATCCCAGTAGCATCCAAGATGCCAATTGCAGTGCATTACTTTATTCTGTCGTTTTGACAACGAAACATAAAACACTATTGGCTTCGATAACAATCTCACGGTACATCATAGAAAGTATTTTTTATCTTCTCGAAAAGACACTTGAAAAAAAGTTTTTGCTCAAATAGCGTACATTGAAAAGGGGAACTATATTCTGCAGGTTTTTTTTTAATTGCCTCTTCAAAATTAACCTTCGTGCTTAGCCTATATTGAAATTGGTGGAGTCCCCTTTGGACGAAGTGAACTTATTATTAAACCAAAGAAATGTG